GCCCCTGTGTTGAGGATCAGCAAAGTGGAGGTGTTGTTTCCTGCCTTCACCACCTGGGGGCGGCCTGTCAGGAAGTCCAGGACCCAGTTGCACAGGGCGGGGTTCAGACCCAAGGCCCCGAGCTTAATGATGGATGTACAAGCCTTCATTCTAAAGTAGATTCACTCTCCAAAACTCTCAGAGACCATGATCACTCTGGCCCAGTTATTGAGTCCCCCTCCTCTCTCATTAGACTGTGTAGTAGTGTGTGGGAGCCAGGCTTGGCTGGCCAGCACATTCTCTCCAGACTGCCAGTAAATACTTGAGATAAATATAATCTGCAGCTTCTTTCATCCAGTGAATAACATTTTAGGGTTCTCCAGCTTTTCACAAGCCATTTGAATTACACTGGAGGTTATGCAAACTCCCCATCATCTAGAATTTAGGGCACTTACATTTAGGGCACGTACAGGTAACGGCCAAAATAATGGGAACACTTGAGTAAATTAGGGATACAAAGTATATTGAAAGCAGGTGCTTCCACACAAGTGTGGTTCCTGAGTTAATTAAGCAATTAACATCCCATCATGCTTAGGGTCATGTTTACAAAATGCTGGGCAGGCCGTTATTTTGACTACCATGGCTATGCCCCCATAGAATGACAATGCCCTCATCCACAGGGCTCGAGTGGTCACTGAACGGTTTGATGAGCATGAAAACAATGTAAACCATATGCCATCGCCGTCTCAGTCACCAGATATCAACCCAATTGAACACTTATGGGAGATACTGGAGCGGCGTCTGACAGCGTTTTCCACCACCATCAACAAAACACCAAATGACGGAATTTCTCGTGGAAGAATGGTGTCGCATACCTCCAATAGAGCTTCAGACACTTGTAGGATGTATGCAAATGTCACACCCTGATCTGTTTCACCTGTCTTTGTGATTGTCTCCACCCTGGTCCATCTCTGGTCCAAACAAATCCATACCACACCCATTATACACTACATACAGTACCAGTCAAAAGTTTGGACACACCTACTCAAGGGTTTTTCTTTATTTTTACTATTTTCTACATTGTAGAATAATAGTGAAGACATCGAAACTATGAAATAACACATGGAATCATGTAATAACCAAAAAAGTGTTAAACAAATCAAAATAGAGTGCACAAAGCTGTCAAGGCAAAGGGTGGCTACATATATATATATATATATATATATTATTAAATATATTTTGATTTGTTTAACACTTTTTTGGTTACTACATGATTCCATGTGTTATTTCATAGTTTTGATGTCTTCACTATTATTCTACAATGTAGAAAATAGTAAAAATAAAGAAAAACACTGGAATGAGTAGGTGTCCAAACTTTTGACTGGTACTGTATACAAAAGTATGTTGATACCCCTTTAAATTAGTGGATTCTGCCATTTCAGCCATTCCCATTGCTGACAGGTGTATAAAATCGAGCACACAGCCATGCAATCTCCATAGACAAACATTGGCAGTAGAATGGTCTTACTGAAGAGCTCAGTGACTTTCAACGTGGCACCGTCATAGGATGCCACCTTTCCAACAAGTCCGTTTGTGAAATTTCTGCCTTGCTAGTGCTGCCCCGGTCAACTGTAAGTGCTGTTATTGTGAAGTGGAAACGTCTAGGAGCAACAACGGCTCAGCCGCGAAGTGGTAGGCCACACAAACTAACAGTACGGGACCGGCGAGTGCTGAAGCGCGTAGCGCATAAAAATCGTCTATCCTCGGTTGCAACACTCACTACCGAGTTCCAAACCGCCTCTGGAAGCAACGTCAGCACAATAACTGTTCGTCGGGAGCTTCATGAAATCGGTTTCCATGGCCGAGCAGCCGCACACAAGCCTAAGATCACCATGCGCAATGCCAAGTGTAGGCTGGGTTGGTGTAAAGATTGCCCACATTGGACTCTGGAGAAGTGGAAACGCGTTCTCTGGAGTGATGAATCACGCTTCACCATCTGGCAGTCCGATGGACGAATCTGGGTTTGAAGGATGCCAGGAGAACGCTACCTGCCCGAATGCATAGTGCGAACTGTAAAGTTTGGTGGAGGAGGAATAATGGTCTGGGGCTGTTTTTCATTGTTCTGGCTAGGCCCCTTAGTTCCAGTGAAGGGTAATCTTAACGCTACAGCATACAATGGCATTCTAGACGATTCTGTGCTTCTAACATTATGACAACTGTTTGGGGAAGGCCCTTTCCTGTTTCAGCATGACAATGCCCCCGTGCACAGAGCGAGGTCCATACAGAAATGGTTTGTCGAGAATGGTGTGGAAGAACTTGACTGGCCTGCACAGAGCCCTAACCTCAACCCCATCGAACACCTTTGGGTTGAATTGTAACGCAGACTGCGAGCCAGGCCTAATCGCCCAACATCAGTGCCCGACCTCACTAATGCTTGTTGTTGAATGGAAGCAAGTCCCTGCAACAATGTTCCAACATCTAGTGGAACGCCTTCCCAGAAGAGTGGAGGCTGTTATAGCAGCAAAGAGGGGAACAACTCCATATTAATGCCCATGATTTTGGAATGAGATGTTTGACGAGCAGGTGTCCACACACTTTTAGTCATGTAGTGTACATAGAGATTTACACAATCATTACAGAGGAAAGCCCATAGGTAGTGCAAGTACTGCATGTTGAAAAGTTATGAGAATATTTGTGTAATTGCACCCCCTTCCGTGCATTGCAACATTTGCTCCCACGGTCACAGTGGTTCCCAAACTGTGGGGCATGCGGTCGACATATGTGTATGTGACCAATAAAATGTGATTTGATTTGAGTAGCAGCAGTGGAGTCTTTGACAATGTATTTATTTTTTCTCCATAGATTTTGTTGTAATGTTTGAGTCACTCAAATATCACATGAACGCATGCACAATAGACATGGCAAAATGTATAGAATTGCAAGAAAATGAGCTTTAAAACTGCAAATTCTCTCTGCACCCCATGACAAAATATTTAGAATTGCAGGAAATAAGCTTTAAACCTGCAAAAATGTTCACTCCGCCAACAAGAGGGGTGAGAACAGTGTGTGTGCCCATAGAAATAGACATGGTGTACACGCACACAGGGGGGGGGGGGGGCGTGGGATGCTCCCCCCCCCCCCCCCCAGTGAAAAGTTTGGGAACCCCTGTGTTACACCATTCTTCGTCGGGGTGGGACATAAGACCACAACAATCTTGGGTTCCGTCTGGCCACAGCTTCCAATCATGGACAGAGGACACTGCTAAAATGCTGAATTAATAAATTGTTTTATTTGAAAGCCTACCAGATATAATTCTCTGTCCTATTAATTTATCAAAGCTTACAACCATCTGGTATACACAAAAAAAAAAACATGACAAATTGTATTGTTGATTCACACAAAATAAACATACATAATTACATTAGCTGTCATTATTCTAAAATAAAACAGTTTTTCCAGCTTAGTTTGCAACCATGGACTAATTTCTCTCCCAAACTATGGCCAGGATACAAAAATGTGTTATATTTATCAAGGCACATATTCCGACTTTCACTGCCCAGTTTAAGTTAGGTATGTGCACTTCAAGTCAAAATATGGCCCTTAATGTGTGTGCATCAAATATCGAAGGATTTCAGAAATGGTTCAAACATTCCACCACTACTGGCTTCCTTTTTAAGACAGACATGTCTGTATTAAAGGGCTAAGGGGGAATATCCCCAAACTCCTCTCATGTTACAGCTATAGATGGCTTTAGAGAGGTTTACATCAATAAGCCTACATAGACATCTGATCTGCCATTCACATTCATAAACTTTTGACATAGCCGAAGCTGTCAATAAGATACCAGCAATGTGTCTGTCACATGGGTACATGCTAAACTCATTATATTAAAGTACATCAACTTTAGCCATAAACATATGGTCTTATACCCCTTCAACGAAGGTGTCCCAACCTTTTCTTTAGAGGACAACCACCGCTGCCTCCTTCTCAAGCTAAGAGGCAAAATTACATTTGTCTTCAAGACATTCATCATTAGAAGAAATAGCACATCAATTCAGCATTCAAATGATGTCATCAATATCGATTTAGTACTGCTACTCTTTAGGACACCAGAGGAAAACATCATGACATAAAAATGTACAACAATGATTAGAGGCTAGAACTCTTTTTAAAGAGTAAATACAATTGAGGTCCATTATATTAACCTGTCCTGTCTCACCATTCAGTTCCATTTAACTGGGCCATGTTGCATGTTTTTCATAACAGAAAGTGCCATGTTATTACCAGTTCAGTCTCTCCAGTCAGACAGCTGAACTGAGGTCATTTCTTAGTCTCGATCCAGCTGTACTACAGAGAAAACATGTTGTGCTGTTGGAATGGTAACACAAATCATTTTAAATGCACAAGTGTATCGAGGACCATTAGAGACCATTTTCACATTCATGGTAATCAGTACGTTGTCTGTTGTGTGGATGTGTCCGTACATTAGATCCCCAGTACTGTGCAATTGGCCCCTATCGCCCACTTGATAACCCCATTAGCTTTGTACAATTTGTAAGCTTCTTTAGTAGGTAGTTGTGACTAAAGTATTTTTGGCATTGCACAAACTTGCCAGCCAATGTAATTCAGGACAGTACCAATTAATGATCGTAATTACCAACGTCCCCTTTCAACCTCAAGTTAACCTCTCAGAAACTTTGCCTCAAACTTCTGTTTTTAAACAAGTCAACATTCAAAAGCCCTATACATTTGTCAAAGTTCAGAGATGGCATATCACCACTGAATCGCACTAAGATCAACATGTAGGTCAATAAGAGAGATAAATACCCCAAGAAGCTTTTCTTTATCAGTAGGGCCGGGACGATACCAGTATCACGATAATCCTTAGTATCGTGGCAGGGAAACAAAACACGAAGTGGAATTAACTTCTTAAGGAAAACAGTCCTAATGTTGGAAACATACATCATTATGATGTCATCTATAGTCACATGTATTTATTTTCCAAGCTATAGCACACAATATTTTACATACAGCAGGTTTTTAAAAGGACCGAAGACGTGGTCTGCTTCGGGTTTTCATTTTTGCAAAGGAAAACATATTGCGATACTGTTGTCGTCCCGGCCCTATTTATCAGTAAGACATTCTGGCAGGCTGCATTCAGGAACACACTGCTCTATTGGCCAAGTCTACAACAGCCAGAAAGATGCATTGTGGGTCTGTATGGAGAACACTGTTTGACAAAAGAGGGATTCAGTATCTCTTACAAAGACACAACTCCAGTTCAGTCCTTGAGATCCAGAGGGTTTCCTGGTTTTCATCATTCTTTCAAAGTTAGCAACTAATCTAGACCTTTGATACAAGATGATTAGCAAGCCAATGAGATTTAAAGTCTTAATGACATGTTAGAGGACTGAACACCCTCTAGGACCGCAGCTATGCACTACTGTCTTGCAAGGACATGATTGGAATAGGATTGGAACAAGATTAGAACACGGTCAAGACTGGCTAAGGGTCATTCAATTATTAGGACATTACTAAACAACTTAACGGTCCTTCAATAACTGCTATAACAGCACCGGCTATGGAAAAAATAATTATATATGAAAACATAAATAAATAGACAGGACATTTCACTCATCTCACTGTTTTTGGTTTTGGGAAGACTAATTACCATACAAGGCTGGCATTATTATTCTTACATTCATTCGAACAAGACTTGAATGATCATTTGGAACCGCCTCATGCCGATCTTGTGGGCAGCCAGACAGACACGCGCGAGGCAGAGGAACACAGACACATAGTACAATCAAGCTAAGGAAGGCACTGGAAAAATTCTAAATACCACAGATTCTTCTGCTTTCAGCATTCAATCTTGAAAAAGGTAAAAATCTAAAAATATTTTTTGGGACATTATTTGTTTTGAAAAATAAAGTTGCAATTGTTAGAAAAAAAATATTTTTTTGCACCATTGCCATGTTGTAGTTGACAAAAGTAATTTGTTAAAAAAGAAAAAAATGTTTTGCATCTAAAACTCCCCCAGACAACGTATGGCATTTTGGTTATCAAATAAACATTTCAGTGACCTGATTTGCACTTGGTAGACCTTATCGGACCAGAATTGCTCCAATTATTTGCAGAGAAAAAGAGTCTAAACTACTTGTTACAGCCATGGTCAAAACGAACAAAAATAATTGAAATATAATATTGAAATATTAACCAGATCTGCTGCAGACAACGCAGCAATTGCAAAGTGTTCCAAGAAAAACATACATGATCAAAGTAGTGCGCTACGTTTTCAAAAACCTTTTCCAAAATACAATTATTTGTAGAGCTAAAGTAAGACTACGGTCACAGTGCTAGCCAGGACAGGGATTTTTCTGATATGAGCCCTACAGGTCAAGGGAACAGCACTGGCTTGACGACATGCCACCATCTCCCATCTCTTTCAGAGGATCACAATTTCAGGAAGTCTCTCACTCAGCTCCCACCCCTGTCACGTGACCTGGGTCACTGGGTGTCCACTCTGCTGTACTTTACCCCCAGGCTCCACGGAGACGATCGCCATGAACACGGCAGCTGATAATTTCGAGGGACAATGCCCTTGACGTTCTCCTCAAAGTACTGGAACAGTCGAAACCACCAGACTCTGGAGAACGGGTTACTCTGGGACTTCTCTTTCAGCGCCTGAATGAAAACACAACAGAGAAAATAAATACAAGTAGAATTGTGCCACTTAAGCTAAAATAAGCTACATTAACATTCGATAATGGAGACAGGCGTGTTGGCTCCCCACCTGCTGGTTGGCCATGGTGTGGTACCACCAGAAGAGACGTGTTGTGATGAAATAAGCTACCACCACGTCCACAGTATAGTGGTCATGGGCCAGCAGGATGCAGAAGATGCCTACCGCACTCAGAGTCCAGCAGAACCAGTGGTACCACCAAAACCTCTTAGGGGAATCTGACAACAGCGAGAGACAGTGAAGGGTTAATGGAATATACAGAGACATTATTTTGTTTCAATAACCAACAATGAAATGCATTTACCTAACACATTGCTTTGGAACAAACTATGTAGTCTTTCAAACCAGACTTCCACAACCATCCACTAGATGTCACTGCAGCATAAAACACGTGGCTAATGTCACAACAGTACAGTTCAACAACATCATGTGACACCACTGTTTACACAAGACATTGGCTTATCTCTCTATTGCTTGAGCAAGCCATTTCAGAAATTCTAAAACCTTTGTATGAGCAGTGGAAAACAGCCAACTGGTCATCTCAGATTGTGAAAGAGAAGAGAACAGAAAAATGGTGAAAGGACAGAGAGACGTGCTAAGCTTATAATGATAGAGTAAAGTGATGGTGTTAGCATGACGGTAAATCTGTAGACTACTTTAACCCTTTGATAAAGAGATAGGTTAGCGTTAGCATGGTTGTGTCTATGTAATACTTACACTCTTTGATAAAGAGATATGATAGCGTTAGAATGACTGTGTGGCCACTGTACAGGTAGTCTCCACACATCGTGTGGGAGCCGGTGATTGACAGGCCTCCCCCGGCGATCAGCTTTATGATCCTCCTCATCTGAGCCTCCCAGTTCCCAAACAGCTGCAACGACACACATACCGTAATGTGTCAATTTGACATGTCAATCATTCAACAATGTCCAGTCAGCTAGTCACGTCTGTGTGCGTTCTCCATTATGTATGCTTCATTTGAACTCAAATAGGGAACACAAAAGACAAGCTTTGTGGATCTGATACAGCTGGATTACTCAGTGTGACTCAACCAAGACTATATTAGCACGTGTGCGCGCACACACACACACACACACACACACACGAGGGAGGAGGGAGAGAGAATGTACACACTGGGTAGTACACACACATGCACACACAAATACACACATGCACACACATTCACACACAAACACATTCACACACAAACACATGCACACACAAATAAACACACACACACACACACACACACAGCAGGTCTCTGTGATGGAGGACAGCTTGTGCAGATTCAGATAGAGGTTTAGAACAGGAAACCAGGCCCAGGGCATGACAGTACATAGAAAGACCTTCATCTGTTGCTGGGAGGGGAAGAGAGGAGAGGAGGAGGCGAGGAAAGGTGGAGGGTGGAACGAGGGAACAATACACATCCCTCCCACTGGCCTTGGGCAACAGAGGGAGTGGGAATGTTTCTATACACTGAACTCTCACCCACCGCTTTGTTCTGTGGTGGGAGGAGCTACCATTTTGTGACTTCCATTCTTCGATATTTCAAAAGAGTTTCAATAGAGAACTTTATAGTATTAAGATGAGTCACATTTAAACCACACACGCTACCTCAGTAAAACATTACCTCTACTTCCTCTGGCGCTTTAGTCACATGGTTAGGATGTGAGAAGCTAAAACAGTAAAAGGAAACTCGTGCCTGACCTGATGAGCACTCAAGTGATTAAAAAATAGCTATTTTAAGTTGTACACATGCAACAGAATCGTTTTAAAATGTTTAATGTGATCAAGGAGGACTGGGGGGCGTTAAACTGAAAACAAGGTCTAGATCTCTTTCTGTTGAGTTTGTCTTTAGGGGGTGTTGTTGTTAAGCTCCAACTGTAATGTTTATATGCAAGAATAGCCCAGAGAGTCAGAATACTGCAAGTGCTACAGCAGCAATGACATCATTGATGGAAATAGATGTGGGCGCTGGTAGCTCACAGTGAGTGTTAGCAACTGACAGCATATTGTTGCTTGGATTTGGAAGGAAACAAACCTTTGGAGAGCATTGGAAGTGCATCCCTGGAACAGGCAAAGTGGTGATGTACATAGTGACACATCTGTACAGGTAGAGGGTACCCACAATGAAGAAGAACCGACGGATGATTATTGATCTGGACACAGAGATACAGGTTATTGGTTAGTTATCTTTGGTCACATTCCAGGCTGACTACACTGCAGACATTGCATTGCATCAACCAATGGTTGCATACCACGTCATTGACTGCACAGTTGAGCATCAGATTGCTATATTGTATAATGTGGTTAGCTGATATGCTAAACGTATATTCAGGCGTTGTGAGATCTGGCAGACGTTTGCAATGTAGTCAGCCTGGAATGCAGCCATTGGGTATCCCAGAGAAATAAGTTCAAAGTTAAAGGTTACAATTTAAACAGGTAAACACTGCTCCATGGTCTACTCTATTATCCCACTACTGTTGTGTCTCACCTGTACTTGAGCAGGGTCCACTGCAGCAGCAACAGACTCACCAGCAGCATGCCATTGATCTCGCAGATAGAGAAGGCCCACTCTACCCGGTCAAAAATGTCAAAGAACTTATCGGGCAACGGTGGGGTGTGCTCCTTGGCCGGCACCCTCTCATGGACCACCGAGATGACCACAGTGGTAGTGACGAAGCAGCAGACTGCGTAGAGGAATGCTACGCCTGTCTTGCCCCACTCCTGGGGGAACCCCGAGCGTTCAGCCTCCGACATGGGGATGGGGATGTGGACCATCTCCTTCCGGAAGCCGTTGAGCCCCAGCGAGCCGTTCCGCAGGGGCTTGGCAGTGCCGTTGGGTAGCCTCCCATGGCCATTGGCGTGGCCATTTTTTTGGTGCTCCTCAATGTGGTGCTCGATCCGTAGGGTCTCCAGCCGTTCCAAGAGCTGCCGTCCGTTGTCTGAGGAGACCAGTGAGAGGGGCGGGGTCAGGAAGTCATCCGGGGTGAGCCGCAGCAGGGCGGGGCCGTCCGTCTGCTGGAGGGAGTCGCCATACTCCTGCATCCCCTCCTCGCTCAGCCAATGGGACACCTCCTCCGCCGACCACTGCCCCACCTTTTTCATCTCGGCCAATGGGGAAGGGTGGACGGGGCCAGGTGGAGCCCGAGGACAGAGAGGGATAGGCTGCAGGAGATGTGGCAGTCTATGGAGTAGTGAATCCTCCCCAGCTGTGGCTCATGGCGTTTCAGGAGCATTGGATGGGGACACCCGGAGGACCCAGTCTTAAGACTCAGATGCAGTAGAGTATGGAAGGTAGCTAGTAGCCAGCTGCTTTAGCCTGCTTTGTGCATCTTCACCTCATTACTTCAATGGGGTTCCCGTATGCCTCTTTCCTGGGAAAGGAGAGAAAAAGAGTTTGAGACTTGAGATTCAACCTAGAGCTGACAGTGACCAATCGTTGAATTATAGAACAGGATAATTAGTTGGTAACATGGCCTTTAGTACCACAGGTAGCTCACTGAAATCAACACTGAAACCAGTTAAGCTCTATTTCCCTCAGATGAACACATGCTATCAATTACGCACACCATTCAAAAGCTATTTTTAAAACAGCAACACTCACAGGAACAACACAATAGAAGCATGTTTCCCTCTTTGATCCCTACAGTAGACAAGCCTTTCAGATGACATACAGTTGAAGTCTGAAGTTTACATACACCTTAGCCAAATACATTTAAACTCAGTTTTTCACTTTTCCTGACATTTAATCCAAGTAAAAATTCCCTGTCTTAGGTCAGTTAGGATCACCACTTTTTTTTAAGAATGTGAAATGTCAGAATAATAGTAGAGAGAATGATTTATTTCAGCTTTTATTTATTTAATCACATTCCCAGTGGGTCAGAAGTTTTCATACACTCAATTAGTATTTGGTAGCATTGCCTTTAAATTGTTTAACTTGGGTCAAACGTTTCGGGTAGCCTTTCACAAGCTTCCCACAATAAGTTGGGTGAATTTTGGCCCATTCCTCCTGACAGAGCTGGTGTAACTGAGTCAGGTTTGTAGGCCTCCTTGCTCGCACACACTTTTTCAGTTCTGCCCACAAATGTTCTATAGGATTGAGGTCAGGGCTTTGTGATGGCCACTCCAATACCTTGACTTTGTTGTCCTTAAGCCATTTTGCCACAACTTTGGAAGTATGCTTGGGGTCATTGTCCATTTGGAAGACCCATTTGCGACCAAGCTTTAACTTCATGACTGATGTCTTGAGATGTTGCTTCAATATATCCACATAATTTTCCATCCTCATGATGCCATCTATTTTGTGAAGTGCACCAGTCCCTCCTGCCGCAAAGCACCCCCACAGCATGATGCTGCCACTCCCGTGCTTCACGGTTGGGATGGTGTTCTTTGGCTTGCAAGCACCCCCCTTTTCCTGCAAATATAACAATGGTCATTATGGACAAACAGTTCTATTTTTGTTTCATCAGACCAGAGGACATTTCTCCAAAAAGTACGATCTTTGTCCCCATGTGCAGTTGCAAACCGTAGTCTGTCTTTTTTATGGCGGTTTTGGAGTAGTGGCTTCTTCCTTGCTGAGCGGCCTTTCAGGTTATGTCGATATAGGACTCGTTTCACTGTGGGTATATATACTTTTGTACCTGTTTACTCCAGCATCTTCACAAGGTCCTTTGCTGTTGTTCTGGGATTGATTTGCACTTTACACACCAAAGTACGTTCATCTCTAGGAGACAGAACGCGTCTCCTTCCTGAGCGGTATGACGGCTGCGTGGTCCTTTGCTGTTGTTCACAAGGTCCTTTGCTGTTGTTCTGGGATTGATTTGCACTTTACACACCAAAGTACGTTCATCTCTAGGAGACAGAACGCGTCTCCTTCCTGAGCGGTATGACGGCTGCGTGGTCCCATGGTGTCATGGTGTTTATACTTGCGTACTATTGTTTGTAGAGATGAATGTGGTACCTTCAGGCATTTGGAAATTGCTCCCAAGGATGAACCAGACTTGTGGAGGTCTACAATTTTTCTTCTGAGGTCTTGGCTGATTTCGTTTGATTTTTCCATGATGTCAAGCAAAGAGGCACTGAGTTTGAAGGTAGGCCTTGAAATACATCCACAGGTACACCTCCAATTGACTCAAATGATGTAAATTAGCCATCAGAAGCTTCTAAAGCCATGATATCATTTTCTTTAATTTTCAAGCTGTTTAAAGGCACAGTCAACTTAGTGTATGTAAACTTCTGACCCACTGGAATTGTGATACAGTGAATTATAAGTGAAATAATCTGTCTGTAAACAATTGTTGGAAAATTACTTGTGTCATGCACAAAGTAGATGTCCTAACCAACTTGCCAAAACTATAGTTTGTTAACAAGAAATTTGTGGAGTGGTTGAAAAACTAGTTTTAATGACTCCAACCTAAGTGTATGTAAACTTCCGGCTTCAACTGTACATCCAGTGTGACTTTAGCCTTTTTATGTACAAAGCCACTGAGAAATATTTATGATTGTACTGCTTTTATTCAAGACCATATTCTGACTGAGCCATTTAAAACCAGTAAAACCACAACAGACAATGACATTGAGATCCCATTTTAAACTGTGAATATACTGTATATTACAGCCCTAACATTTTTTAAATTATTGCAGGTTAGGAATCTCCCTACAGTTGGGTACAGTATATTGATTTATCATTGACTTTGATAAGCAGGGCATGCTTCAGTATCCCGGAAAACTAACCTAAGTCAGTCATCTTTTAGACAGTTACCACCTAAAATCACTGAACAAATTACAGAACAGGCAACATGATTGCTACTGTTGGGCGACCCAGCCCCCGAAGTGATTCTTATCACCTGTATGCTAGGATTTCCTTTGTATTGTCTTAGGAATGCTGCATTCTCTCTCAAACCCCCATTCTGTCTCACTGGGTAGCGGAGGTTCTGTTGTGTTTACATCCTGTAGGTCTGATATCTGATTGGAGGTTAACTCAACAGTAATGCTATTGGTCAACAACTCCGATTTTGAATCCAAACAACTGTTATAAAGGGGTCTCAGATGCATTGTCCCCCTCTCTTTGATCCTGACTTGCGCTGGTGAGATATACCCTCTTTTTTTCATTCTCCACCCCTGGGACTCTCGGGACATGGCCTTTAAGGCTATGACTTCTCTCTCTCCCTCTCTGATCATGCCTAGAATAATGCTTGTAATGCTTGTTAATGCTTTGTAACTTAAGCTTTATGCCTTGTGTAATGTATAGTTCATTTTACAATGGTATTAAATATCTGCCTTTGATATAGACAATTCTCAGAGCTTTCTATTACTGTAACTCATCTATAGTCTCTTGCATATTGCTAAATAATCTTTATGGAGTCAGATCATTTATTTAATAGACTTTGTTAACATATTAATTGCATAGTCTTATTACGGTTCGCATGTCAGGTATGCACATATGATAAATATTACCCCACTACTCCCAGTTTCCCATTTTTTCAGCTGTAGTAACCACCACTCAACGGTATGCCTCTATTGCTTAACTTAAAGCACAACAGCAACAGCTCACTTTATCCACTGTAGTGTAAACTGCAACAATCCACATCTGCTGGCTGGGGTGTGTTTATAAACAGTGTTGACAGCGATGGACACAGGGAGTCCCTGCTTATGTTTCAGGGAGCCATGGTTCAGCTGGAGGCCAAGGCTGTGTTTCTGGAGGCTGGAGGCTCAGGGAGGAACTCATAAATCAGCCATGCCGAGGGTCAGTGCTGAGCACTGCTCTGTTCAGCCCAGGCCCCACCCCAGTCACAGGGCAAGCAGCCAACAGAACCATTCAACCTTTACCTCAGCCAACCGCCCTACAGACTGGGATACAGGCCTATAGACACCAGCTTCCTGCTTTCATGAATACAACTGGCAAGGCTTAAACTCCGATGAGACTGATGAGCAGAAAGTATAACTTATTTTAACATTCCAACATGGCCTTATCAACAGGTTAGCCCACCACGATGAATGGCAGATTTGAACAGCTATAAAATGCTCTGTGTAAGGGCTGGCTGTAGCCTGTTTTGACACAGTGTGAGAGACAACTCACCACAGGAGTGGAGTAGGGGAAAGGGGAACCCACAGAGGTGGAGTGTGTGTGTGTGTGTGAGAGAGAGAGATTAGAGATTTGCCGTCACCGAGTCAGCTGCGTGTGCTGGACCTTTGCTCCTTGAATTATTTTACAGGGCAGCCAGTGTGATAATTCCACATCAGAATTTAGCCACACTGCTGAGCGGAAAACTAATCACTAATTTAATTTAACTCAGGGGTACAACTTTGGTTTTAGAAGTGGGGGCTACATAACCCTTTTTTTAGGCATCTAAAGATAATTTCCTGCATTTCTACACAATCTAATATTACCTTTTTTTGGGTCACTTTTATTGTAAATAAGAATATAATATGTTTCTAAACACTTCTACATGAATGTGGATGCTACCATGATTACGGATAATCCTGAATAATGATGAGTGAGAAAGATAGACGCACAAATATCACACCCCCCAAAATATTCTAACCTCCCCTGTTATTGTAATGGTGGGTATGATATTAGTGCGTCTAACTTTCTCACTCATCATTATTCACGATTCATTCAGGATTATCCTGGTAGCATCCACATTAATGTAGAAGTGTTTAGAAACATATGATATTCTTACTTACAATAAAAGTGATTCCAAAACGACACACTACATTATTTACCATTCATATCTATTGGGCACAAAATCATCTGAAACAACCAAAACAAACAGCAAATGCATCCAACAAATGTGTAGTCACAAGCTTGATGTAGTCATGAATGTGGGACCAACTTTAACTTCATAGTCTTTGTTCGATTTCAAATCCAAACTTTTGGAGTATAGCGCCAAAAGAAGAAACAATCCTTTACTGTCCCAATAATTACAGAAGGCACTGTAATTAATCTCATAGGCCTAATAGTATTGTAGAGCTCTTTCTACTTGAACACAATATAGCTGGATCACCCCATCCTGCCCCTAGGGGTCCACCACCCTGCAGCGCCCCAACCCAACACACCCCACTCAGCTTTAGGATCTTAGTGAAACATTCATTATTGGTTTCAGGTGTGTTAGGCCAAGGCCAGAGTGACAACCAACAGTACGGCAGACCCCCAGGGCCAGGACTGAGCAGCCCAGCAGCAAGGGATTGCCTAAATAGGTATTTCCCCTAACGTGGGAATTTTTCAATACAGACTCTGTTTGTCGTACAGTATTCCATATAAGTAATCCAGACCTTATGAAAGTTGCACAGTATACCCTTAATCTGGTAATAAATCAAATCTAGTGATACATAACTTGACATTTCTGCCATCCATTGCGACATTGTGGGAGGATAACCAACATTCAAATGAATGGCACTGCATGGGGACAAGAGATGTAATGGACCCTATGG